GCCTTACCGCGAGGAATTTTATGGCCTTTATACAGCCGCTTATCACAATCATTGTCCATATTCTTAGTAACATGAACTGGCGCTCTTTGGCCGTGAAATGGCCCTTGCGCCACAAAACTTCAAACATCATCATCATCTTCATTGAAACCCAGAGAAAGCTTGCTGCTTGAATATTAAAAATTTCAGATTATCAGCTTCGATAGCTTTGCCACGTCCTCGGTAATGCCTGAACATGTGGAGCCGTAAATTGCCGAATTCAAGTATTGATAATTCATGAACTATTCATCAGAACGCAAAACAACTTCGTGCAGACATTAAGTTCCTTGTAACCTTAAAACCCTTTCAATATTATTGTTCCACACAAAACATCAAAAATGTTATTCACCCAAAACTTGCATTGTTTTGCCCAACTCTATATGCAGCACTTAACAATTGCTTTACTGGCTATATCTCTTCATAGAAACCTTGTATAATGCTTCTTTAAGAGGCTCAGCAAATTTCATTTGGTTATGTTAAACAGTTTCGCCCCACGGCCAGTACAACGATGGCTTGTACAGCAAAAACAGTGGTTCTTGCTTGCATTGTTCTCATTGCTATGCAATATTGCTTGAGACTAGGCAACAATACTAGCTGTCATTAGGAAATAGAGGTTGTAAGCTTTGTAATGCAATACAATTCACATCAACAAAGTAAGCGCAGTAAGCGTGGTGTGTCAGCAAACAATGACTGAAATGCAGAGCGGGTGCCGCCGGAGTGGGACCGCCACCTTAGCGACGTTTGAGCCTCATTTCGGCTGCATCCTGGGAAGGGCATGCTCTTTACGCATGAATCCCTTTCCCATAGCACTCTTTAATTTTTAAACCTGGCTTTAGCATTTGACCAAAACCATGTTTGTTGGCTGTGCAGCCCATGCGCACAGAAAGATGTGCTCCCGTACGATTCTGCCCTCTCGAAAAAAGTCAAGAGAGCAATTGCAACCAACTGTCCTAAGTCTGTCCTCATGAAGTCGTGTTCTCACTCCATGCAGGAAAGTCTTAATAGCCGATTGGCAAAGCTGTATTCAGCCAGCTTCCCAAGCTCCGTCGTAGTGGCCGCCTCAAAAAATCCTTCTTCAGAAGGTGAAGGGAACCAAAAGGATAACATCAAGCCCTGTTCAAAAAGGAGGCAAGCCTGCAGTCGTGCCTTACATTGACCAAATTTCCTACTGCCTCTAGAAGATTTCGAGTAGGTATGGTATGCATGTAGTCTTTTCGGCACCATGCATATTGGTTGGACTGTGTCGTCGGGTCAGCCGCGTTTACAAAAAGCCCGAATGCCTGAAGAAGCACACCAGACCTTATGTGAAATGCGTGAGAGCTGTCGTATATGAAATACCGCTGTCGTGTGGGAAGACTTATGTGGGCCAAACTGGACGTTGTGTTAACGATCGAGCTTCGGAGCATGAATTATCTTTAACGAATAAAGGAAATGTGCACTTACCTGCACACTGTATAGCCTGCATATTAGAGCCTTGGCTGGTGAGAGATAATAGGCAGAAGATAATAGGCAGTGAAGATAAGTAATAGGCAGTAATAGGCAGTGAAGATAATAGGCAGAAGCAACAACACATTAGCACGAGAGTTATTGGAGCTGTTTCATATTAAGAAGAGAGGGACAGGTTGAATTAGTGATATTTCTATTTCACTTTACCGAAATTAGCTGCAGCTTCTTGACACGTGAGTGGGAACAGTGTTCATCGATTTTAATGCACGCAAGGCCAGAGAATTTTAATCTGGTGGCTGGTTCTTTTGAATAAACAGTTTAAGTTCAGCGCCCAACCTTTCTGCTCCCCCCTTCTTTTTTTTTTTTCGAACATTCCTGTCGTTACTCATATTCTCCTCCTACATCTTTTCTCTCATCTGTGTTTTCCATGTTTCTGCTACTGTGTACCCCCTCGGCCTTTAACTAACTTGCCCAAGAACATGTCTTACTCAAGAATAATTTAAACTACCTTCCTTGTAGAGGCTTAGGGTGGTGTCCTAGGCTCATTCAAGCAGTTTGTACCCACTTCTGGGGCAAGGCTAAGTGTTACTGCCTGTAATCTTAGTTCATACACTCCTCACGTCGATATGCCTTAGGTATACGTACACGTGTATGCACGCGGATGGTGCGCACAGCGCAACGCTCGATCCTCTATCATGGTGGCATGCGCATGACGGCCAACAGATGGCAGCAGTTCTGCATAAGGTCTATATCAGTGACTACGGACAATGGTTTTGACGAAACTGCACCTAGCAGACATAAAATAGTTTCACCACTTGATTTGAACGCACAGCTTTCCAAGTTGGAGCTTGGCTTCCACAGCTCAGTGACGAAATGGCAAGCTTTGATGGATGTGTTGTTGCATTCTGCACACTTGAGGATGAAGGTATCTTAAATAGATCTGCTTTAATAATTGTTCACACTACTGGATGGTCCTGCTGCTTGTACCGTTGCATGTACTGAGGTGACACATTCTTGTTACAATAATGAGCTTGAAATTTCGAAACGCTGTTTCAGGAATCTCAAAATTATTGAGCGGAAATACTTCGAGAGCTTGTGCACACTCGGATCAGTAAGACTAATGAGTGACATGACAACTGTGGAAAAGTTCTTGACACTGTGAAGCTGAATTGGAGGGGGCCGCATAGCTTTGGCATCACTCTTTTTTTGTACATGGTTATTCTGAATGAAGTGCTCCTCAAAGTTGTACCAGTTGACGTGTCAGATTGCACAAAAAAAAATGTTTGGAGAATGTAGGAGAAAACACTGGTGCTTCCTCTGATCATGAACTTCATCAACTGATGAAGTTACTGCATATCAGTGTCAAATGGGGAGAAAAGAGTTCAATAATCATCTATTAGCTAAAGACATCAAGTGACAATCTTCCAGTATTCAACAGATCCTTCAAAAAGCTGTCTCCGACTCTGGCTTTGTTAGTTGTTCAGAACGATTCAAAGTCTTCCTTCTCCTGCTTTCTCTGCTCCGTGAGTGAGCACAACACTGAGAATGTAATCCGAGTTTATTGCAAACATTCAATAAAATATCTTCTCTCCATAGATCTAATGGCTGATCTTCTTGCCAAAGATCTAATAGATCTAACATGTTACAAATTGTTGGCAGTGAAAGTGTGTTCCATTTTGACAGCAAAAATTTTTGGCTTTACCTCATAAAAAAAAGGTTGAAACTGTTGCAGATCTCTTGGGTTTTTCAGACGTGGCAGTGTCAAGACAAACAACTTCTCTAACAAAATTGTCATCAGTAGGAGTGTATCAAGAAAAAGAGAAATAGAAAGTCTGGTGGTAGAAAAAAAGCACACCAAAAAAGCAGAAATTGAAGAGAAAAAAGAATGGCAGAAGTTTGAAAGAGTTAGGAGCTCGGAGGTAGCATCAGGGGCAAGAGACAAAAGGCGAGCTTGGTGGACGTGTGCAGGAAGCCGGGCAGTCATTTATCCAACCATGGCCTGAAGACGTGCACGCTGATCAGGGTTTTCTAGGCTAAATTGTGCAGCCATAACCTATCTGCATGCCAAGCCCATGGCTGATCACCTGCTGTGGTCTTTGGGTTTGCATGCTCCAGACCATGTTAAGATTTATGCTGGTCTGGCACCACCCTGGCATTGAAACTTCGTCATTGTCATGTTGGCACGCCATGATCGATGTCGGACGCCATGTCGGGGGAATGGCTGCGAATCACAGTGGATGGTCCGGACCTTTAAGTTTTCGTTTTTTTTTTAACAACATTGTCTAAGTGATATTTAGAATAGGTAGGGTTGCTTGGCATTTATCTGTGTCATCTACTTTGTGTATAAAAGAAGTGCTGTGTTTTGAGGGTTTTGTTGTATGTTCAATTTTAGCTTAGCTTAGATTTTAGCTTGGCCTCCTATTATTATGTGATCTGCTACATGACCGCTCTTCATGAACTTTATGTTTTTGTAACTACTACGGAAGTCCACTTTTTTGTACTGCCCCCCTTACACAATGCCTCAACGGAGGCCTGTAAGGTATTTTCAAATAAATAAATAAATAAAAATACATTCTTTGTCAAAATGTAGGATAGTGCTAACATATACACGGACAAGGAATAGACAACAGGACAAGTGCTCTTCGTTGTCTTTGTGTGTTAGTATTATGCCACATCCATACTCTGACTTGTGTCATTTCTGTAACCCACTGCTTAGTGGTAACAGCGCTTCACTGTTGACCCTAAGGTCACGGGATTGACTCCCGGCCGTGGCAGCCGCATTCCGATAGATGCAAGGCGCTGCTTGTGTTGTCTAAGGTTATGCTTTCTGACTCTAGAGTATAGAAATTCATAAGAATAATATTGCCAATACATTCCGAACAATTTGATATCACTGTCACATGAAATAAACACCTTATTTTCTATTGTGGTCTTGAAGGGAAAGTAGCCTAAGTAAAGCTAGTGGGTGTCCTTGTTTCTGGCTGGTGCACTAATATCTGGCAACCAGCAGAGACTGCTGCATGTCCCCCCACCTCTCTTCTATATTGCTCCAACACTCTTGTCAAATTAGTCAAGAGCACTTGAAGTTAGATGCTTGGGTTCCGGAAGAATCACTGAAACATAGTTGGTGAACTTCATTGCATGCACCCGCATGCATGCCACTTTTCAGATTGCTCGCCTGCTATTCTTTGAATAGACTATGATACTGCAGAGCTCGCATGCTGACTCAAAATTATTTCCCTGCAATTACTTGCCTATCACTTTGATGTCCAACAGTGCCTCATTGGTGGCACACTATGTTTTAATTTAATAGAACCTTTAAGCATTCTTAAGCAAGCAAGTTTTAGGCTCATTTATAGCCATGTTAGACTCATTCTACAGCTACATATTACAGTCTGTAAAGATTGTTCTGTCATTCTTTTGCCACCGCTGGTCCATCTGTCTATAACCATGTTTTGTTCGGTCAGATCATGTGCATCAAGAGGTCTGCTTTAATAAGTACATGAATGGCTTTGTAGGAACATGCTGACCCAAATGAAGGAGTAACTGAGGCAGCACTTGGCGACAGCAGCACTGAAGCTTCAAGCGACATCATTGATTCAAGGTAAGCGCAGTGGAGTGAAGAGAGCCCCGCTGTGGTGGTATAGTGGCTAAGGTACTCGGCTGCTGACCCGCAGGTCGCGGGATCGAATCCCGGCTGCTGCTGATGCATTTTCGATGAAGGCGAAAACGCTGTAGGCTGGTGTGCTCATACTTTTGTGCACGTTAAAGAACCCCAGGTGGTCGAAATTTCCGGAGTCCTCCACTACGGCGTCTCTCATAATAATATGGTGGTTTTGGAATGTTAAATCCCACATATCAATCAACCAATCAATCAATCAGTGTAGTGAAGAGAAACACACTTAGAAGGATAGTTTTTCTCATGTTTCTTAGTAACGCAAGAGATATTTATTCCCAAGCAAATGGTTGCCTTCCAAGCAATGGATTTCTCTTCAACAAAGGCTGCTTGTTATTCCTTCAACTCGTGTTTTAAAAATTGATATTGGGCACGAGGCCCACCACTGGAGGCGCGAGCGCTGCAATCGCTGTGATGTGCATGGTTGGATCACGTGATTTCTCCTCGCCCTGGCAAAAAAAAAAAAAGCTAGCAGTTGGATGCATTGTTTTTACCGTGACTTTGCTGTGTTTTCATTTTTTTGATAGCATTGTTTTGCTCTGGCTTCATGTGTGCGGACTTCTGCAGACTACACAATTCAGAAAGTTCCAGTAAATGTTGCCACGTACGTGAGGACACTGTCACAGCAGCAGGCTTTGCCACTGTCACCTGTCTCTTTCTTTTTTGTTGGGGTTTTTATTTCGAGCCAATGGGGTTAAGTTGAGCACCGACCATGAATGATCACATGAAAGCAGAATGTTTGTTTTCGCGCGGAAGCCTCATTCAAATAGTCTGATGATGTATAATTTAAAATAAGACATAGGTGTCTACATGTGCGGAAAGTTGCCGTCATTACATTCAAGAATTTGCGCTGTGCTCTGAATTGTCAGAGAGTCAAGATATAGCATGAAAGTCCAGGTATTTCTCCTTTAGTTTCATTAATTTTATCCTATTCTGGTCTATTTCATGGCCAGTCTTCTGCGTGTTCGGCCAGCGCGTTCAACAAAACCTTCTTACTCGCATCATACATGTGCTGCACCAGTGTTTGCTAAAGCTTACTTCTCTCGCCAAGTTAACCTAACCACAATCTGTGCCACATCACTTTCCTTCTGGCTGTCCGTCTCCATTTGTGTACCCGATCACACAGGTTACCATCCGCCAGTAGCATAGCCAGGGAGTGGCACACCAAGCCTGTGCCCCCCTCCCGTATTTTTTCCGATGGTGTATATCACACAAAATAACGATCTACCACTTTTGCCAGCCCGGTCCCAATTCTAATTAAGGTGGCGCCCCCCTGAAAAAAATTCTGCCAACGTTCTTGCTGTCTGCAACTTCAGCTCACGGGGTTCCTCGCTTATATATTACGTCTGAACGGACCCATAGCCACTATAACTTCCTCTGAATGTTGTTTTGATCTATGGGCGAAAATGTGGTCAGCTTTGAAAACCGATTCATTTTCTAGAAGCCGCCGTGAAATATCACACAGCTTATGAATTAAGATGTAAAAAAAAAGTAAACAAGACACTGGCAATTTCACTGAAGCATGCAATTGCCGCTTAGATCACGGTATGCAAGACCTCGCAGCATGCTCATTCAAGGGTGCAAAATGATACGGCTGGCTAATCGTTTTTTTTTATCGTGATTTACGCCCTGGTAGACGCTCTGGAACTGAACCAATCATCCATAATCTATTTTCACCCATGTGTGGATCAATGGCGATCCGATCGAATGGCCTTCCAATACCATGCATACATCCTCACAATTACTTGATTCTAGTGGCAATTCACACCAGCTAGTTTTATAAGTGACAAATAGCTACTGTTTATTGGTTCTATAGGCAACAAATTTGTCTCACCTATTACAGCCTATGAGTACGAATACGCACCTATAACTGTTGCCTAAAGTACCAATAAATATTTATTATCATATCATATCATATCATAATATCACAATGTCATTATCAAATCATAATGGTGCCAATACGAGTATTGGTTATATGGGTGACAAATAGCTACAACCTACAGGCACCTTATTGGTGACAAATAGGTGAGGTCAATTGGTGTTTATTGGTGCTGTAATGAAGAAGTAGTGGGTCATGCAAAGCTCGGCAACCACATCGGCAGTGCTAAGCAAGAGACGCTCGGCTCGGACGTTGTGGCTGCTTTCGCTGGCTAGGCCTACGATTCTACCTTGTCTCAAATAACAGTTCCAGTTGTCCCAGTTCTTTATTATATTTGGTGAAGTTTGCTGGGTTTCCTCACAATCATTGAGTTGCGAAGCCGGACTCGACCTGCCACCATGACCACTACATCTGCCACAAGCCCCCCACCTATGGCTCCCCAGGCCATCGTGTGGACCGGCGCGATTCCGTCAGCGGGACCCTCCCATATTCAGTGGCACTGACGATCACGACGTCGACGACTGGCTGGCTACCTACGAACTCATGAGTGTCTTGAACAAATGGGACGAAGCCACGAGACTGGCCACCGTCGGCATTCACCTCAGTGGCATTGCGCACTTGTGACTTCGGAACCATGAAACCGATGTTCCAACCTGGACAGCATTCAAGACAAAGTTCAGCGAAGTCTTCGGTCGTCCTGCTGTCCGCAAACTTCGTGCGGAGCAACGCCTTCAGTCAAGATCCCAACTACCTGGTGAGAATTTCACCAGTTACATAGAAGACGTCATTGACTTGTGCAAACATGTCGATGCAAACGTGGCTGAGGTGGACCGCATCAAGCATATTTTTAAGGGTATCGACAAGGACGCATTTCAGATGCTGATATTAAAAAGCCCTGCTTCTGTCCCCCAAGTTACAGAGCTCTGCCAAAGCTATGCTGAGCTTCGTTGGCAACGTCTCGTCGCCCGCCGTGCTGTCCCACACCAAGAATGGATGTCCGCCTTAACTTCCTCGCAAGATCCCATCCTCCTTTCGCAGATCAAAGATTTTGTGCACGAAGAAGTTGCCCGCCAACTCTCACTCATCTCCGGCCTACCGGAGCGCAGTTCGCCGCTTAGGCCTACACTACGGACTATTATACAAGACCAAGTGTCTGAGGTCCTTCCTCCGCAGCTGGTGCCACCAGTCAATGCACCATTGACGTACGTCGAAGCAGCAGCACGACCTCGACTGCAGACGTTCAGAGTGCCGCCTCCACTGCCTGCTCCTGTTTATACCGCCCAGCCGCCACGACCTCCTGTCCACCGAGTCCATAATCCGTGGTGCGCTGCCGACAAACGACCGATCTGCTTTTCGTGTGGTCTACCCGGACACGTCGCACGTCTGTGCCGCCACCGCCCACTCCCCTCACGTGAAAATCCATGTCCATATGAGTACGACCACACGTACGCTCCATACACTCCCGAACCTGAATTGCACCCTCCTCGACCAAGCCACCCACCAGCTTCTGATCGCCAATTTCCTTCTCCACGTCGTCGCTGGCCCTCTCAGATGCGCTGATGCCGCCCTACAACCGACGCGGAAAACTAAATGACGCAGTTCCCGAGGCAAGAACTGCGTTTTCGTCGCAAAGCACAAGCCCTTTTCGTTCGCCGCCGAATGTAATTAATGCCATTCTTGAAGGTGTGCCCATTCTTGCCCTTATTGATACTGGTGCCGCCATTTCTGTCATCACCGAAAAAGTTTGCCGTTCAATTCGAAAAGTGACAACGCCTTACTTGGGTTCGTGTCTTCATACTGCCATTGCACAGCCTGTGCAGCCTGTGGCTGCGTGTACCGCCAGACTTGTAATTCAAGGAGTGCCCTACACAGTGCAGTTCGTAGTACTCCCGCACTGTTCTCACGACGTCATTTTAGGTTGGGATTTTCCCTCCCAGCACCAAGCCGTCATTGATTTTGCCCGCGCCCAAGTCGTCTTTTGTCCCCTTGGTGATGCTCTACCTGCGGACGATCGCCCTTTCTACGAGAAGTTGATCATTAGTGACGTGGTGCAACCGACGTGCCTGTGGGGAATCCGTTCCCATTCACGATTACGCTGCTCTGGGGTGAATGTATTGGCTCATTAGAATCATTCAAAGCCATCGCAACACTTGGCGTTCCTGATGGATCATCGGAAGTCAGCACCCTCTCCTGTAGTTCCGTGAATGGCCCTTCCACTGCCAAGATTTTTGACCGTGTCATCGACGAAGGCCTAAACCCACAACAGAGGTGTGAGCTTTTGAGACTCCTTGACAAGTTTCGGCCATCTTTTGCCATTACTCAAACAAAACTTGATAGATTATTATTTTACAAAGAAAGAGCTGTTCGTTTCATCGCTGTCACACACTTCGGGTGAGGCCCCGCCGATCCAACATCGACGTGCGGCAGACTCGCAGGCTTCCACTTTACGCTTCAGCCTGCAACGCCTGAAAGGCCTCGAAGTGGCACATTTAAAATTTATTTGCAGGTCGGTCGACCCTTGCAGGGTTGCACGTGTGGTGATGAATAAGCCTGATCGACGCACTCATAAGCAGACATAGAGATTTTATACAAAACGAACAAGCATTTAATTAAAACAAGAGCGTAGGCAGGAGTTAACAAAAATAGCAGAGGAAGAAAACTGATACGTGATGACAAAGAACGGTTATAAAACAAACTGTGCTCTAAAAGAACACTTCAAGAGGTACAAAAAAAAAAGAACACAGATACGTGGAATGTTAATAAACTAATGACATGATGGAAATCAAAAGAGATACAAGACAAATTACATGAAAAAGATCATGGTCGCGCTTTTGAATTTCAACGTGCGACGCAGCGCACACAACCACACATATTTAAAAAAAAGGCTAGTTATAATAAATTAAGTTAAAAAAAAAAAGTCACAATAAAAAGTTTCATGCGAACCAGGCCAGCTCATGGTGCGCGTAGGGGAGTTGACTGGGTGTCGCTGAAGATCTCGCCGGCTTGGTAGACGACGAGGGTGCCCGGAATTGAAGCCGTCTCAATACGT